ATAGAAAAACTTAATTTTGATGAATAAATTTAATATTTGTATTAATTATTCGTATATTGAATAATTATGTTTTAACATAAATATATGTTTATAATAGTTAATAACAAAAGAGTTATAACCATTTAAATGTTCGTTTAAACACTTATTTGTAATAGTTAATAACAAAAATTATTATTATTATGTTTAAACATAAATGTTTGCTTATAAATGTTTATAAATGCTTAACCATAAACATTAATATTGTATTTAAACAAAATGATGTGGTTATTTATCAAAAGGATATGATTGTTCATCAACTGTAAATAAATTTTTATGCATAACCATTTTCACTACTTTTACTTGAAGAGATTTTAGGCTTTATTATATCTTAGAGACATGATTGCATTTAAGAAAATGTTTTTCACATCTCAAAACTAAAATTTATTTTTATTATTTCTATTTTATTATTTATTATTTTAATAATTTAAAGACAATTATGAAAAAATTTTCACATTTTGTATTTATGGAGATGCAAGAGAATGAAATCTAAAAATGCATTGATGAAATCCAAATTCATGAAACAATTATGGACAAAGAAAAACTAGTTACCTACAAATTGCAATGTTAGATAAATTTTTTTTTTTTGTTTCTCTTTGAAAATTGTTATGCAATTTACTCATTAAATGTTTGAATGGAGTAATAATCTATAGAATTTGATGATCATCACTTAATTTCTTAATATGGCTTTTGATATTAGTTAAAATGGTAAACACTAATTTACTAAAATTACTTTATTACATTCATTAATTTTAGGTGAAATTCTCTATAATATAGAGCCATAACCTATAGTGATACTTAAATAAAACTATATCCATGCATGAATAATGTTGATTTATTTTTATGGCTTATGTTGTGAATATATTTGCTATTTAAGTTGGATTTTGTTTTAATCTAAGATAATAATTTTGAAAAGTAGAATTAACTTAATATATATATATATATATATATATATACATGAGTTTGGATATAAAAAATCATGAGTTTAGAAATGCTTAGCTTTAATCTATATAATAGATTTGTTTGTTATATTTAAGTTTTCTATCATGAGAAATTGAAATAAAACTAAAGAAATTTGTTTTTATTTGATATACATGTACGCACAATAATCTATATAAGTTTATGCTAAATAATTACTTTGTGTGATGAAATGTATATGTAAGAATCATTTTCAATTATAATGCAATAAAAATTTTTGTAATGTCAAGGATATAAAAATATATATCCATTCTTATAAGTTGTGGTAAAAAAGGTAAATTATACCATTAGTCACTCAATTATATTGTGTTATTAAAATGGTCATTATATTATTAAAATTTTTAATTTAATAACTAAAATTTGAGTACGTACTTTTTTGTCACTTAATTATTAGTTTCTAATGAGGTGTTGACATGATAATGTCATGTCAACTTTTAGATGTCATGTGATATTACCATGTCAACAAATTTTATTTTTTCACATGGTACTTTATAGTTGATGTGAAAATGCAATGTTAATACGTCATTAAAGGCTAATGCTCTAGTGACCAAAAAACCTTACTCAAACTACTAAATTAAAAGTTTTAATAGTTAAGTGACTATTTAAAAATCACAACCATAATTGAGTAACCAATGGCATATTTTACCAAAGAAAAAAAAAATGACTATTAAGTTTTTTTTTTAAATCTTTTAAAAGAAATATAATGAATGAACAAAATTCACTCAATAAGTTGTTTCATTTTAAGGTTTAAGTACATGTTATATGAATTATATGGCAACGAATTAAATCAATCATAAGCCTAGAATTGAATATGAAGTATTTATTAAGTTTAATTATGGATCTTATATAGCTTATTATATATTGGTTAAGACATGATTATTTAAACCAAAATGAAATCTCAAGCATTGCTTCAAGGCATAAAAATTTGTGAATTTGTAGATCTTCTTTGAAAGAATCAAGTACATATGCTATTGTCATAAAATTATATTTTATTCCACGCTTGTATTTAATTGATCTAGAAAAGAATGCATGATTCATATTTTTTTTCTAGCCATAAACATGATTTAATTATTTAATTTATATATTGTTTCAATGTTTATTTTTATTTGTTAAATAAAGTATTTAAGTTATGCAAGAAATAAGCTAATTGTTTACTTCAATTTCATTATTATAATTCTTGAATAAACATGGAACTTAAAAATAAAGATGAAGTTAAAGAGGGCTAGCAGGGGCTATAGCCCCCCCTAAAAAATTCCATAATAAAATATTTACTCGTAGAAAAAAGGTTGGTAGGGTTGCTTTAAAGTAGACACAGTGTCATGGTTAGGATTTGGTGTGTCTTGGTCTTGCCATGACTGACCCTGAGCTGAGCAGCAGTTGAGATCAAGTTGCCAAAAAAGTGGTTCTAAGAGATGCGAGAGTGCAATTTAAGCACTGAAACATGTTGCTAATATGATGTGCGGGCAATGTGTGCCCTAGGCCATAAGATGTACAGGTAAGTGTGCGGTAGTGTATAGGTGCTCTGAAGTCAATTAATCAGTCAGGTGCTGTCTGTCGAAGCCATGTACGAGCACCTTCGTGTGGGTTAGTGAAGCAACGAGTAAAATTAATGAATTATGTTAACCAAGAAGAAGGTTACGGGGCCTTGAGTTAGCTGAAGAAAGGCCCTGAAATGGCTAAGGAGAAAAATGTCTCCATTTCAAATAGTCTTACAATTCCTGATAGGAGAATGAAAAAATCTCTTACGCTCTTTAAAGGGGGACATTTGGTATCAGCTCTCCACCATCCTCTTGGCTAGCAGACAAGTAAGGGCTTGGCTAGTCTAAAGTGAGCTACTTCTAGGCACAAGTGGTGTTTAGGTGGATAGGCATTATAGGGTCATAAGTGTGGCACGATATCTCCTTGGATCATAGTAAACTCGAGGACAGTTGAGGCTAACGGGCCTCATATCACGCGTTTACGTTGAGCCATAAGGTTACGCAGTAGAGTCTATTATGTCTTTCAGTTTTTCCTCTTTGAGCCAGAAGGATCATAAGATGATATTTGCATAGAAGAGGCACCATCGAGCCTAAAAGATGAGTAGACTAGTAGGTAGGCATGCTGTTAGACCCTTATGGTAAATCGATAGAGGGGTATTACAGCTGAGATAACATATCCAAGTCTCCTATACGGGACTAGCATGATGTTGAATGTCAATCATGTGTGTAGGTAACCTAAATTGAGGCTAAAGGCTTAAGCTCTAAGAATTGAGTTTTATGGGATAAGATGAGCCTAGAGGCGCTAGACAAGTTGTTGACCAGCATAAGTGTAGTACCTGTGGGATCTTGGCACGAGAGCTAGTGTACAATTCGAGCAGGCATGGTGCTAGGTTCTTACCATACCAAAAAGTAATAGTATCATGAGAACCGAGGCTATGCACTCCAATAAGAATTCAAGGGTCATTGCTCGAGACCTTAAGCCTTGCGGGCTGAGACGGATGTTCGAGGTAACTGCGAAAATCATGGGCTAATGTATTGAGAGGAGTTGGATTCTTTCCTATCAAGTTTAGAAATGTGTGATCCTACGAGGTCTGAGCTAGGAAAGGCTCCCTAATGTGTGGCTTGAAAGATCTATATCGAGTTATCCACAAGAAAAAAAAACTTGAAAAAGATTAACCTTGACTATGAGTAGTCTTGGTACCGTACAAATACGTAGTTTCAAAATAAGAAATGAGTGGCTTGTGACATTATAGTATCAAAACTATGTTTGGCTTAATGATGGGATTAACATGACCCCATGTGTAGGCTTAATAACATGAAATTAAGGTGGTACTAAGCTCAAATAAAGCTATTAAGATGCGAATATGGTTTTATGGCTATGAGGGCTCAAGAATGGGCTAATGATGCATGCTCTGTAGGAATAATTGGCCTAGTTAAAAGGGTCATTGAGTAGGCTCTTGAATGCCAAGCAAAAAGGCACAGGAGTCTAGCCTTACTTAGAAAAAGGTGTTGGCTCATTTGGGCATGTGATGCCTTTATAGTGGAAGAAACTATGGTGAGATCGAAATGAGAAAAAGGCATACACCTTGAAATGGTGTTATATAAGGCCATATGGGCCGAGTGAGTTTTGTCATGAGGGACATGAGGCATTGGTATTAGGATTTAATTACTAATAGTTATAAACCTCTTATAAAAGAATAAGTATTATATGTCATATCTTAATTCTAACACTAAGAGTTGAGGTTTAATTTGCGATTATCATAAATTTCGTTAAAATTCTAAGATAAATAAGTTAATTGAAGGTTAAAATTTAGAGATATCTTCTTATATTAATAATTTATTTGTGTTAAAAGTTAAAAATTAAACACCAACATTCCAAACTAATAGAAGATTATTATTTAAAATATTGTAAATCATATATCGAATAGAAATGCTTAATTTTGATAAGTAGATTTAATAGTTGTATTAATTGTTGATATTCTAAATAATTATATTTGAATAAAATCATTAGTTTATAAGAGTTAATAATGAAAAAGTTATAACTATTTAAATATATATAAACATTTATTTGTAATGGTTAATAACAAAAGTTATAAATATTATGTTTAAACATAAAATGTTTGTTTATAAATATTTATAAATGTTTAAATATAAACATTTATATTTTATTTAAACAAACTTACATGGTTGTTCATGAATGTATAACAATTTTCATTATTTTTATTTAAAAATTTTTAAAATTTTATCATGTTTTAAAGACATAATTACGTTCGTATCTCAAAATCAAAATTTATTTTTATTATTTTTATTCTCTTATTTACTTTTTTAACGCACTGTGCGTGGTGCGATGGAAATAAAGCTACCGTGCGTTTGGATCCAAATAGATCCTCGAGGCGCAATTGGGCCCAAAAATAGACCGACAGTGCAGGGCGGGGCTCCATTTGAATCAAACGGGCATATAAGATAATCCGACGATCCGGTTGGCCCAAAAGAGTATGAAGAAGTGTGGAAGCCAACCAACAGCGTTTTCTTCCGCTTGCTGCAAGTAGTCTTTCTGTCTCTCCATGAAGAGAGGAGAAAAGGAAACAGAAGATGCAATCTCCATCCACCAAATCCAAATGGGCAATTTCATCCCTCAAAAAACCCGTTACACATTGACCATCGTTTTGTTCATTGTGTTGTTCCTCTTTAGCCTTTTTCTTTACAGCAAACGTACGCTCGAACCCTCCGTCTCCATCTATCAACAGTCCTTTTCGCTCGCAAATTCCCACATCCACTCCTCCGTCCCCACCTTTCCTGACCCACCAGCTGGCGTAGAGCCACTGAACTCATCAACCCACCCGCCCATTCCTTCTATTTCTCAAGCTGTAGAGCTAGACCCTTCTTCAAATGCCACAAGCATCGATGTTCAGCTCTCTGCCCCAGACAATCAGAACCCAGGTAACGAAGCTGCTGACAATGGTGAAGAGAAGAAGAGGGAAATGTGTGATCTTTACACAGGAACTTGGGTGAAAGACGAAGAGTACCCAATTTACAAACCGGGTTCTTGCCCTTACGTTGATGAGGCTTTTGATTGCCAAAGCAATGGAAGGAAAGATTCTGATTACTTGAGATGGCGTTGGAAGCCTGATGGCTGTGATCTTCCAAGGTATACGATTTCTTCATTTCGATCAAGTTCCTATACTGAAATGGTTAACTACTTCTTGTGGACTTCAAATGTGCTAAGTGGTTGCCAACTTATGCATTTATGCTCTTGCTTAATGAATGGCTCAATTTACCTGGACTTGTTGATCTAAATTCATTGCCATTTTATCCTATTAAAAATGTAATGAAACTTTACTTTATTTGATTATCGCATCCTCATCTTTCTTAAATTTATGCTGGACACTATATCATGCAGAAAACATTTCTCAAAGGCCATACATTTGGAGGCCTAAGTATTTGTTCTCCATGCTTTTAGCTACCCCTAATTTCTGTGGCACAACTTGAGTGGAAGCAGAATTGCCTTTTAAAATCCTAAAGTCAGTTGCATACATAAACGATTTATGTATTAGAGTCATCATAGGTGAATAGCTGCTTGTTTAAGCATTCAAAACAAAATGTCATAGTTGATGAGCTCCTTTCTTTGCTCAAAAGATGTCATACATGTTCCTTTTGGTAAAGCATATGCTGATATACTACATCTATGAGAGAGGCTATAGGGATGACATGATCTTATATGTTATGGATTCTATGTAATATTTGAGGCAGAGTATGTTTAAACCACCTTCTGATCCTTCAATATGTAATATTCAATGTTCCTTTCACAGTTATAACTTCTTTCATTTGGCTTAGTAACAACTTAATTCATGAACAAAACAGAGCTGACCCATATCTGGCTTAGGCTCAATACTGAGATACTAGCTTAATCAAGAAATTATTTGCATGCTCTTGGCTTATTGAATACTGAGTACCAGTTTGAGGCTTTTCTTGAAGATGAGGAGAAATTCTCATGCCAAAGGACATCTTAGTTTTCATTTAAAGTACCATATGGAGTTTTGGTTTTATGTTTGCTTAGTTTGTGTGTCAGTGTCATTGAAATTGATTATTGAGACTTAACTTTCGCTGTGCTAGTTGGTTATGCTGGAATATATTGGGCAGCATGCTGAATTAAGGTTTTGTATTTTATTATATTTTTATTTTCTAGAAAACTGTTTTTGCAGTAATAATTGGTAAGTTAAAGTCAAGCAGGAATATATGTTTTAATTTGTTGGGCAACAGATTTGTTTATATCAGTCTTTACTAGACATTCATTTCTACACATTATGCTAGTTAAACAAAAGCTGGTTTTTTGCTGGTGATCATGGTCCTAATCAACCTTTAGAAGGCTATAGAAGGAGTGGAGTCTTTGAGTTTATAATAGAAGAAAACTGGTTTTTATCCGGTTGGGAATATGATTAAAAAGCTGCCTTTTCCTTTCATTGTAATTTGTGTGTTCTGTTAAGTACATCATTGTTGTTTTTTTGACTTGTACAAACTTTTTTACTACATTATCAAGGATAATTAAGGTTGAAATTCTCTCTTTTGTACCACTTCAGTGGTAATAATACTTCAAGGATGAGAAACTCTAGCTATCACAAGTTCTAGATGAGGACATTATGTTGCACAAACTCTTCACTTTACCCTAACATATCCATGTCTTGACACTTCATTGGCACTATAAATTCAAATAGGTATGAAACTTGGATCCTAAAAATTAATGTAAAAAAATTTCCAAAAAAATGAACTACCCGGTGTCAGATAGATACCCGTATTTGGCGCCCCATCCCAAGTCTGTGTAATATATCAAGGGGAATGTCCTTGGTACTTCATTTAAGAAAAAATGTAAAACTTGAGGCAGTTTTTGGAGAATCTTGGCAGCTATATTCATCTAAGACTGTGGAGAAGAGCGAGTCTTCTAGCAGTGTGCCCCCCAGTCCACGTGTTTAAAAGTCCCCCAAAACTACAGTTGTTTACATATTGGGTTTTAGGCTGTGTAGAGTTGTAAGTTTGTATTCTGTAAGAGCTGAAAAGGCTAGTCTTTGGTTATTTTGGCCTCTAGAGATTAAGATAGCCACTGCAAAACAAAGGGCAAATAAGATTATGAGTGAATGAGGGCTGGTTATTGAATTTTGGACTTCAAGAAGAGGTGTATCCTTTCTCATTTTGTGCATTTACCTTTTGTACTATTAACCTTGAACTTCCTGCCCTTGCTTAAGTTCAAAGCATACTCTATCCATTGTTACAAGAACCTAAGAATATAATTAATACTTTCACCTTTCCAACTGTAAAAGCTTTTAATTCATCTTTGAAGCTTGAAATACTGCATATTGATGTTATCCTAGTGCACTGAATTTCTGGTGTCTGTTTGACAAGGCAGCGCTTTTCATTTAACTATATTGCTAATTGGAAGCAGAAATTGAGATTCATCACTATATCTATCCATATATATATCTATTCTTTCATTGACCTTATGAATAATTTAAGTAATTTCTTCTCTATTTAACGGTACTTTTCTTCCATGCATTTACTTACTAATTGCAAGTTTTTTTTTGGCCAATCCAACTGCAGGTTTAATGCTACTGACTTCTTGGAGAAACTAAGAGGTAAAAGGCTAATGCTGGTTGGGGACTCCATGAACCGCAACCAGTTTGAGTCAATGTTATGCCTCCTCCACAAAGGCCTTACCAATAAGAGCAAAATGTATGAGGTCCATGGGCACAAGATAACAAAAGGAAGAGGGTACTTTGTATTCAAATTTGAGGTAACAAGATGCTTGTTATATTGCTGCATTACTTAAGCTGAATACATTCTTTTAAAGGCTATATTTTCCTTTTGGATTACTCAAAAGTTTGTCTCATAATCTTCTCATAATCTTCTTGCCTCTTTCATTAGGTTTCTTCATATTTTGGTAATTGGATAGGTACATCTTCAAGCATCTTTTTCAACTAACGTTTTAACCTCATCAATCAGTTCATGTCTGATTTGACTTAAGAATATACGACATTATCCAATACTGTAATCTGCTATTTTATGGAGTGCTGTAATAGACTTATATACTATTTGTAAAAGTAGGTAGAAAGTTTTCTCATAAAATTTTAAATATTGCAACAAAGTTTAATAGGATCTCACTTACTTTTAAAGCATTTTTTACTACAAAATAACACCAAACAGAATATTGAGACCCAGCTCCACCTTTGACATTTCTATTTTTATTTTCTTTTTATTTATTTTTTATTTTAAAAATAAAATAAAATTCAAATGAGAACCGCTAATGGAGCTTGCATTTCTTTGTCATGTTCTTTTAATTTTTATAACCAACTGAAACCAAAGAAGGATTGTATGACAAGCAGCAGTCTGTCATTTCAAAGTGGTCTGAACTCTTAACATTTTAATCAGGACTATGACTGTACAGTGGAATTTGTGAGGTCACATTTTCTTGTAAAAGAAGGAGTCCGCATTAATGGACAAGGGAACTCAAATCCAACTCTATCAATAGACAAAATTGATAAGACATCTGGTCGATGGAAGCGGGCTGATATTCTCATATTCAATACTGGTCACTGGTGGGTTCATGGAAAGACTGCCCGAGGGTATATCACCAATCTTACTACCATTATACTTCATAATTGTTTATTTTATGCTATGTTGATTTACTTTTTGTGATCATTAATCTTCAGAGTCACTTGTTTTCTCCTTTTCATTTACAATTATAGAATCTGTTGTCAATTGAGTTGTTTACAAGCATGGATGCATTGCCATCATGATGAAGTTCTAGTTCAGTTTAGTGTTTCAAACTTTTTATTATATCTTATCTCTGCAAAATATTATAGCACTTTTATGGGGAATGATGAATATGATTAGTTGATGCAGGATAAATTACTATAAAGAAGGTGATTATCTTTATCCAAAATTTGATGCTGTTGAAGCTTATCGAAGAGCTCTGAAGACCTGGGCAAAATGGATCAATGAAAATATTAAACCAGCAAAAAAATTGATCTTCTATCGTGGATACTCTTCTGCTCATTTCAGGTATAGTTGAAACCCATTTTATCATCATTAGACTAGCTTCAATCTCATTCCATTGCTAAACAACAACCCCCGGTTCATACACACACACAAAACTTTCCCTTTTAAGAAAATTCATATAGGGAAATAAGATTCATGTGATTCACTATTGAATTTCAAAATGAAAATCTATATACTGCTTGCCTGTTTACCATTTGGTCAAAAAGGTTTTTAATCAAAGAATTACTATATTTACATACAGGGTATAATGTATTTTATATAAAATATTTACTAAACTAGCGCCTTGAGAATGTTGTGTATATTGGCTAATTAATTTCTGCTTCTTGAAATAGAGGTGGAGATTGGAATTCAGGTGGATCTTGTAATGGGGAAGCTGAACCAATCTTGAGTGGGGCCTTCCTTGAAACCTACCCTTTGAAAATGAAGATAGTGGAAGAAGTGATTAAGGAAATGAAGGTTCCTGTGATACTGTTAAATGTAACAAGGTTGACCAATTTTCGCAAGGATGGCCATCCATCAATCTATGGCAAGAGATTAATAGAAGGGAAAAGGATTTCTACAAGGCGGCAAGATTGCAGCCACTGGTGTCTTCCAGGGGTTCCTGATACCTGGAATGAGCTTATCTATGCCACTATGTTTTTCAACAAACAATTTTCAAGAGGTGATAAGTTTCAACATCTAGATTTTAATTTTATTTGGCGAAAGGGAGACTATAGGTTATTGTTGTTAACAAAAATATTTATGTTTGTCACTGCTTGCAACAGAATAACTTGCAGCAGTCCGGGACATGGCACATGGCCGCATGGAAGGACAATACTAGCGCTGTATAGCTGGCAGATGAACTAATGTGCAATACCTGAAGATGGCGTGGTGGAGTAGACGGGTAAGGTAAGAAATTCAAGTTTAGCACTGAGCAACGAACTTGAAGGAATAGGAGACAACCCAGGAATTAGAAGAAGAGAAAGCAGATGACTAGCGCATTCAACCTAGCTACTCATATTATTTATAAGCTTGGTCTTACATAGGAGGTCGCTGATTGAAGAAAATCTGTGCATGCTTGGTCACACGCTCGGTACTTTTTCGAAGTACAACCACATTGCAATGAACGCTTCGAAATTTTTGTTCAAAAATTTTGTTTATTATTTATAAAAGCTTTTGCAAAAGATAAGCTTGAAAACCAAGCCCCTCTCCTAATTTTCTGTTTAGAATGGAAGAGCAATAAATTCTTACTCCCTTGCTCGGATCAATGGGCTAAGCAAAGCTAGCGCATGTGTTTTCCTTTATTTTTTTTTCCTCTTTTTGGTAAAGAAAGTTTTATGATGATTAGATTTGTTAATTTGTATATTTATATTGTGTTTTATATGAAAATTATATGTAACATTTCATGTCGATAAAGAAAATATAAAATATATTATTATGATTTTTATTAAATTCATAATTTTTGTAAAAATTTTAAATAAAATTAATTTTTTATGTATTATTTTTATATCGTATTATTACATTGTTGCATTGATGTATTTGTCCAAGTAAGAATTCATTATGTTATAATATTCATGACAAATTGAAAATAATTTAATATTTTAAAAATTAAAAAAATAATAAACTACGGTAAAAATTAAAAAGTAAACTGATAAAAAAAAAAGCAAATATAGTTTTATTTATTTCATTCATGTAACAAACAAGAAAAACACCCTATCTCATTTTACACTTGTTTTTATTGATTTTTAAAAATAAAATGTAATGGATTTAAAATTTTAAACGTTACATCTTATCTATTTTAATAAATATATATATTTATTATTTTACATACCCTTCCTTTATTTACATATCAAATTATCCTACAACAATAATAAAATACCATTAATTATTACACATCATAACTCAATTTATTTTAGACAATAATTCAAATGAGGACAAATTGTAAAATGGTACAGAAAGAGTTTCTAAATTGGAGTACAAGCTTCCAAGACAACCAGGAATAGATCTAGTATTTTTTTTGGCAAACTGTCTTTTTTTTTTTTTTTTGTCTTTTTTCCCTAACATGAATTTTTTTTATGTTTGAAAAAATATTTCAAATTCAATTCCTTAAACAAGAAGATTCATTGACCAGCCATTGAATCAATCATTGGTTTGAATTCGAAAATTTCTCAGTTTACTATAATAGTAGCGAAGGCAGGGAATAAGGATGTTTTTGGGAATATCCATAAGAGGAGCCGACAACTGTTGGCTCGAATTAGGGCTTAAAAAAGGCATTAGAAGAAAATCCGAATCCGTTTTTGTACAAGCCTAAAGAGGAATTGGTAGGTGAGTATAGTGAGTCTTACTATAAGAGGAGATGCTTTGGTTTCAGAAATCTAGATCACGTTGGGTACTTCCTTCGATGAGTTCTTGTGGTTTTAGGCTTGCCCTCTTCTCTTGTGACTTTGATCATGTATTGTGTTACTTTTACTGAAATGAGGATTTTATTGAATGGAGAGATTACTGAGGGTTTTAGGTTTGAGGTAAGGAGATCCGGTGTCTCCTTATTTATTTATTTGTGTTATGTCTTCAAAAACTTACTATGCTTATTGACAATGCAGTGCTTAATGGGAGTTGGAAACCTCTCTTGCTTAATAGACAGGGTCCCACTATTTCGCATGTAATTTTTTTGCGAATGATATAGTATTATTTGGTGAAACATCTGTCAATCAATGTGAGGTTATGGATTGTCTTGGTCAGTTCTGCTACCTTTCAGGCCAAAAAGTGAATTTTCAAAAGTCTATTTTTATACTTCTCCAAATGTTAAATCTCGACTTACAGGGATATTGCAAGAGTTGCTGGCATGAAGCATAGCAGAACACCTTGACAAGGTTAACAGTGGACTTGGGACTTTGAAAGCTAAACAACTTTCACTGGCAAGACGTGCTACTCTTGTACAATCAGTTACTTCAGTTATAGCTAATTACACCATGCAGTTGGCTAAGTTACCAGTCTCGGTTGAAGAGGAAATTGACAAAATGAAGAGAAATTTTCTATGGGATAGTGTGGAGTATCAGAAGAAGTTTCTGTATTGAATTGGAATGTTGTGTGTCAACCTAAGACTTTGTGGAGGTTTGGGGTTGAGGAAAACTAGTGACACGAATAAAGCTTTACTTGCCAACCTGGGATGGAAGCTTATCGATGGTGATAATTGGTTGTAGGCAAAGGTGCTGAAATGTAAATATCTTAGAGGGGCTGATTTCATTCATGTAATTAAAAGCTGGGAAGTTCATATACCTGGAGGAGTATATTAAGTAGCAAGGAGGAAGTTGCTAGTAATTGTGCCAACTAAGTTCATAATGGAGGGACAACTTTTTGGTATGATGGATGGTTGCTTGAAAAATATATGCTAACTATTGTCTTGATCCAATCTCTTTGACTTTGAAGAGAGCAAAGGTTAATGAAGTCTTTGTGGATGTGCAATAGGATGCAAATGTTTATATGAGATTGTATCAAGTATAAGGATGATGCCGCAAGTAGACGTTGGAAATAATAGAGGTTGATTGGTTCTGGTTGCAATAAACCACCAGATGACTTTATTAAGTTCAATGTTGATGAGGCTGCCACTACAAATCTATGTGAACTCACGACGGGAAGCATCTGTTGAGATAGAGGAGGCTTGTAGTTATTTGGCTTTATGTTAAAATTGGGCAGAGGTTGTATTGTATTTTAAAGGCAAAACTACATCTTATTTTACAAGAGGCTTTGAAATTGGCTTGGAATAAGGGTGTTAAGATGGTTGTTGTAGAATCAGATTCATTGGTGGCTGTTAACAAAATTGAAAGACCTTTGGAAGATAAGAATCCGTTTAGTAAAATTATTTTACGGTGCAAAGAGCTTACATCAAGGGATTGGCAATGCACTATCACACACATCTGTAGGGATATGCTTGCAGTTTTGGCCAAACAATGCAATTGGGGACTCTTGTTGGTGGAACAGACTCCTATACAATAGGTGCATTATAAGCAGGAAAATTGCTCGGGTGTTACCAAGAATGAGGTATTGTGTGAATTAGCAAGCTTGAGTTTGCTCTTATGCACAAAAAAAAAAAAAAAAAAAGGTGCTATCATGCTGCTTGTTTTATACTATATTAAAAAGAATGAAACAGACAATGTAGCACAAGAAATTAGACTTCTCATCAAGCCTAGGGTTGATTAATTTAAAGATCAGATTTAAGGAACTAATCGATAATTTGAAATTTGTTGATACGGAAAAATTATGTACTGAATTTTTAGTATTTAAAATTTAAATGCTAAATTTATGATATAAAAATTGTTTAGTACGTTATTGAAATATATATATATATATTTATAGAACTGATTTTTTATTGAATTCTTTTAAAATAAAAGAGATATATGATTTTATGAACATTTCCCATTGATAAAATTTTATAAAATAATAATTAGATAAAATAATATATATTAATTAATATAATTAAATATAATTATAAAAATAAACTATACTTAATATATTAAGTAGCATATTTTTAATACTTTTTTTTATTGAAAATCTCCTATTAAGTTGTTTATAAAAATGAAAGATAAAACATATTAAAAAAATTGAATTCTTAAAGATTTTAATTTCAATAGTTTATAATTTTTTAAAATTATATACAATTAAGATTGTAATTTCCCAATATCATAAATAAAAATTATAATCACATTGTCCAAAATTCACATTAAAATTAAATATACAAAGAACAAACAAAAAAATCTACAAATTTATAAAGAAAAAAAAATCAAGTTCAAACATTGTAGTATACATATTATTGATCTGCAATAAAGAAAAATAAATTAACAAAAAATATTAGTAGGATATAAAAAGGATTAACATTATAAATGTCTCATAAACTTTAGTAAAATGCAGAATATGTTACATAAATTTTAAAAATCTTTAATGTTATATTTAAAATGTAAATTTATTAACTAATATGATAATTATTCTTAATATAGTTAACTTTAAATGATATCACATAATAGAAAAACAATCTTCCAAACACTATATCATTTATCATATATAATATTATATTACAGAGTAATTATCGGATAAAATGTGTTGATATAGATTCCAATGTGAATAGTCTTTCTTTATGACACATAAAATAATATTTAAATTATATTATTTATTAAATAACTCTATCTAATAAATTATTTAAATTTAATATGTTTGGATAACTATTTAAATTCAAATCAAAATCTATAAAAATATTTATAATTTTACATAAATTTTAAATTTAAATATATTAAATTATAAATTACCTTTTTTTTTTTAATTTAATCATAAATCCAAATATATATAGGCTTAATAAACTTTTATTAGCTGTCAAATAATTTTATTTAATAAATTATATAAATTTAATATTTTTGGATAACTATTTAAATTCAAATTAAATTCTATCAAAGATTGAAATTTTTACATAAATTTTAAATTTAAATATATTAAATCATCATTTATCTTTTTTTTTTCAAATTTAATCATAGCTTTACATATATATATGTGTGTGTGTGTGTGTGTGTAAGCTTAATAAATTTTTATTTGTTGAAATCAAAATCTCAAAATAAAAATAAAAAGCTCATAAAGTGAGAGTTTCACCCTCTAACCAATGTTATTTTATTTTTAATTATTAGAATTAGAAATTAAAAAATACATTTGTTTGATGATTATGGTTGAGGGGTTTTGATAGGAATGGACAAAAACTAGAAGGAATAATAATCACATCATACTCGTGTAAGATAAATTCATTTTATGCCTTTATTATTCTTTTTATTTCTTTCATTTTTTATGTTTTATTTTTAAAAATAAGTTTGTGATGGCCTTTAACTTTTTTTTAATGTTTTTATAATATTGATTTTTTTTTTAAGATTTCAATAATGAAAGAAAAATGAACGCACATTTGGATTGGTTCTAATTAGGTAATAGATAAAGTTCATTACTTTTTTTCATATTTTATTTCTTTTTTCTATTTTTTCCTCTATTTGTTTTTTTTTTTTCAAACAATTTATTTGGTTTTATTTGCATTATATGATATATACATTTAGATTTGATTTATTCTAAAAGAAATTTGTTCATATGTTTTTATATATATTTAGTTAAACTGGATATTTGCTATGCAAAAATACAAGATATCTAAATTATATTTACGTTCTCAATTTGTATATATAGATTCTATTTTAATAAAAAAATAATTATATATGTTAAAGTATATATGTAAAAAATAAAAACTAATAAAAAGTAAATAGTTATGACCAAATTAATAATTATGCTTTACAATTCAATCAAATATATATA